CGGCTAATTTTAAATGGGCCCCTGCTTGTATTTACTGCCCGGCGGCCCAGTACCGGGGGTGGTGGGGGGGGGCAGCATAACTGGCGCTCTGTCTGCGGTATATAACACCTCTCTGTTACACGGCGCTCCCCTGCAACACTGCTTCCCCTGTACGCCGAGCTCTCTTTTTTTTATATCGTAGTACAGTGGAGGCAGCCAGCGTTTCCAGCAGAGAAGTGTCGAGTTTGCACAATAAATCTGCAGGAATCTGCGCGCCGCCGGACCGAGCCTGACAAATAATCAACAAAACTTTTTAATGCCGCAATAAATTTCCCGCTATCGGCCGAGTTCCCCCGAAAAGGACGGTTCAGGTTTTTTTTCTCTCCTGCCCGTTCAGCTCGGAGCTAAACGCTGCCGAACTACAACTCCCAGCGGGGCCTTTGCGGCTCAGAACTCTACAAGTCAACGGTAGACCAATAACCAATCAAAACGCCATCAACACCCCAAAAAACTGCAGGCAGAAGCATCGCCATTGGGCGGGTCACTCACCTTCCACCCACAGCCGCTCGATGTCGGTCTCGATGGAGGCCACCCGCAGGCCCACGGCCAGAGCGCCGAAAACCAAAAGTCCCACGAACAGTACCTTCCCGCAGTGCCTCTGAATGGAGCATCCCAAGGTGAAAAGCAGCGCCTGGAACTGAGCGCGCAGCCAAAGAGGAGCCTTCTGGCCGACCGCCTTGCCCTAGGGGGAAAGAAAGTGTCAAAGAAAAAAGTTGGCGCCGTTAATACGTGACATGGCCGGTGCAGCGGGCCAAACATACAACCTTTTGATAAATACTACTGTGTGAGACATTCCGTGATTGCTCTGAATTTTTGACGCACAAAACTTGCCATGATGTTGTGTGCGTTGTGCCAGCGGGATGATTGAACGCAGATGTCCCCCTCCGTACGGGAGCGCTCGGCAACATGTGTCATGCCCTGACCTCTCGCTCCACGCAGGTTGTTCGAACTTTTATGGGACAGATATTGCACGCGAGCTTTTTCGGGGGTCATAAAATGTTTGTTCTGGTGATGTGAGATGTTTTATATAAACTCCTGACTGTGTCACATTCCTCAGATAAGGACACCGGTTTGGGTAGACATAACAAAGTTGTGTCCACAAGGAGGAAGCAGAGGCTGTCACAGCTCTGACGACCGACAAACTTCACCGGCGTGGGGAAGTGCGGCGGATGGCAGACTTCGGCCGAGCACATCGCACCTGCAACCTGCGCTGCAGATTGTCAGCTCTTCGGCTCACAGCGTCAGAGACAGAGAACAAGGGGGGGTAGGATATCAGAGTTCTCTAAGCCTCAGTGGTAGGACACGGGGGGCGGCTTTAACGCTTCCTCTGCCAGGCCGGGGTTCCTGCCAGATCCCCTCCGCTGTTCCCTTTTTTGCTTTCCCACCCCGGCGATAAAACCAAAAAATACGAGAGGAGTCATGCAGGCGAATGGGTTTTCCATTCGCACATGTGCTGGGTGGGAGTGCGGCCCCCCTGGTCCCACACAAGACTTTAAGTGAAAACAAAAGTTTAATACTTCAAAAAAAGCCACAAAAACGTCAACCCACCGAGAGTCAGGCAAAGGCAGAATTCCGGCAAAGGCAATAAATGATTTAGCAGCAGGATGGCGAAGGAGGGACTTTTGAAACATCTGAGATTCAGCAGGGGAAGGTTTTTGGGCATAAATGATATTACTAGATATAGAGAATTTGGGAAACTTTGGGCGCCCAGTGCCCCCCGAGGAGCCACGAGTCCAAGACTGCTGGGCATAAGACTCGTAGCTCCTCCGGCTTTGGAAGACCAAATGGTGCCTATAGCGGTCATTCACCTTCGATAAGCACAGTTACATACCATGCATCAGATACTATGATTTAAAGTGGCACTGACCCAGGGTTGGCTGTCAGGCAAGGGCCCCTGAAACCCTGCAGGGCCACTGACACACATCACAAAACGGCACACGGTGCCTGCATTCCACCACTCACCTTGGCAATCTGCTTGAGCGCAAAAGCAGCGTGGCAGTAGCTGGGTCTCCGCAGAAGGTCGGCGCTTGGAGTCGGGTAAGAGGTTTTGTAGCCAGGGTGTAAATCTCTGAAGCCACCTTCCCCCGTGCTAGAGGGAACAGGGGCCATTGGAACCCTACAGCGGGGCGGTTGAACGGTGGTTACCACGGGGGCGTCAGCGACCTCGGCTCAAGAAGCGAAGTGGGAAAAAAATCACCGGCTCAGCCAGCCGATCAATAAAATCCATGCAGGAATTATCAGCATCCAAAAAAACAACAACGGGGTGCAGAGGGGCTTCCATCTATGTCGGCAAATCCTTAGATCCCATGGCTGCTCTTCGTGCTTTCTCCCAGCGCAAATTGCAAGGGTGGTGGGGAGGGGAGGGCAGAATTCGGAAAAGCGGCGTCCGGGGCAAATAGCGTGTCCCAGAGTGACGGGGAAAGGCAGGAAATCCCAGGAAGAGAGGAGAAGGGCTCAGTCCTGTGTCTTGATTCTAAGCATCTGTGCTGAAGGCTACTCTTTACAGTCCCTGAAAAGAGAGAGAAAGGAAAGAGAGGGTGGGGGGGATTGCATGGAAATGTGCGGAGAATCCCATTGGCTGAGGAAAAGGCAAATTACTCTCTAAACAAGTCCTATTATTAGCTGCTAAGCAACAGCTCCCCAACGTGAGGAGGGAGAGGAGAACCCGAGACCACCCAGGCTGCAGCTTCTCTCTCAAATCAATGTGGGGACAGGGGAGGAGGAGGAGGGGGGGGGGTCTCAGCCAGAGAAGCCGCACAATTCTTTACAGGAATCTTGCTTCACAGACCTCCAAATGCTACAAATTTCTTACCACCCTGCTCTGTCCAAACAGCCCTCACCCCACCCTTCCCACATAGCCCTTCACCTCTTATTTAGTGCAGCTATGAAAAATGCTCTTTGGGGGTACAAACTGGGCAGCAGATAAACAATGCTCTGTGGGGGTACAAACTGGGCAGCAAATAAAAAATGCTCTGTGGGGGTACAAACTGGGCAGCAGAGGAAAAATGCTCTTTGGGGGTACAAACTGGGCAGTAGATAAACAATGCTCTATGGGGGTACAAACTGAGCAGCAGATGAAAAATGCTCTGTGGGGGTACAAAGTGGGCAGCAGATGAAAAATTCTCTATCGGGGTACAAACAGCAGCAGATAGAAAATGCTCTATGGGGGTACAAACTGGGCAGCAGATGAAAAATTATCTATGGGGGTACAAACTGGGCAGCAGGTAAACAATGCTCTATGGGGGTACAAACTGGGCAGCAGATGAAAAATGCTCTATGGGGGTACAAACAGCAGCAGATAGAAAATGCTCTATGGGGGTACAAACTGGGCAGCAGATGATAAATGCTCTATGGGGGTACAAACTGGGCAGCAGATCAAAAATGCTCTATGGGGGTACAAACAGCAGCAGATAGAAAATGCTCTATGGGGGTACAAACTGGGCAGCAGATGATAAATGCTCTATGGGGGTACAAACTGGGCAGCAGATGAAAAATGCTCTATGGGGGTACAAACTTTTCTCTCGGGGTGTACAACCTGGGCAGCAGATAAAAAATGCTCTTTGGGGGTACAAACTGAGCAGCAGATAAACAATGCTCTGTGGGGGTACATACTGGGCAGCAAATAAAAAATGTTCTGTGGGGGTACAAACTGGGCAGCAGAGGAAAAATGCTCTTTGGGGGTACAAACTGGGCAGTAGATAAACAATGCTCTATGGGGGTACAAACTGAGCAGCAGATGAAAAATGCTCTATGGGGGTACAAACTGGGCAGCAGATAAAAAATGCTCTATGGGGGTACAAACTGAGCAGCAGATGAAAAATGCTCTATGGGGGTACAAACTGGGCAGCAGATAAAAAATGCTCTATGGGGGTACAAACTGGGCAGCAGATGAAAAATGCTCTATGGGGGTACAAACTGGGCAGCAGATAAAAAATGCTCTATGGGGGTACAAACTGGGCAGCAGATGAAAAATGCTCTATGGGGGTACAAACTGGGCAGCAGATGAAAAATGCTCTATGGGGGTACAAACTGGGCAGCAGGTAAACAATGCTCTATGGGGGTACAAACTGGGCAGCAGATGAAAAATGCTCTTTGGGGGTACAAACTGGGCAGCAGATAAACAATGCTCTGTGGGGGTACAAACTGGGCAGCAAATAAAAAATGCTCTGTGGGGGTACAAACTGGGCAGCAGAGGAAAAATGCTCTTTGGGGGTACAAACTGGGCAGTAGATAAACAATGCTCTATGGGGGTACAAACTGAGCAGCAGATGAAAAATGCTCTATGGGGGTACAAACTGGGCAGCAGATAAAAAATGCTCTATGGGGGTACAAACTGAGCAGCAGATGAAAAATGCTCTATGGGGGTACAAACTGGGCAGCAGATAAAAAATGCTCTATGGGGGTACAAACTGGGCAGCAGATGAAAAATGCTCTATGGGGGTACAAACTGGGCAGCAGATAAAAAATGCTCTATGGGGGTACAAACTGGGCAGCAGATGAAAAATGCTCTATGGGGGTACAAACTGGGCAGCAGATGAAAAATGCTCTATGGGGGTACAAACTGGGCAGCAGGTAAACAATGCTCTATGGGGGTACAAACTGGGCAGCAGATGAAAAATGCTCTTTGGGGGTACAAACTGGGCAGCAGATAAACAATGCTCTGTGGGGGTACAAACTGGGCAGCAAATAAAAAATGCTCTGTGGGGGTACAAACTGGGCAGCAGAGGAAAAATGCTCTTTGGGGGTACAAACTGGGCAGTAGATAAACAATGCTCTATGGGGGTACAAACTGAGCAGCAGATGAAAAATGCTCTATGGGGGTACAAACTGGGCAGCAGATAAAAAATGCTCTATGGGGGTACAAACTGAGCAGCAGATGAAAAATGCTCTATGGGGGTACAAACTGGGCAGCAGATAAAAAATGCTCTATGGGGGTACAAACTGGGCAGCAGATGAAAAATGCTCTATGGGGGTACAAACTGGGCAGCAGATAAAAAATGCTCTATGGGGGTACAAACTGGGCAGCAGATGAAAAATGCTCTATGGGGGTACAAACTGGGCAGCAGATGAAAAATGCTCTATGGGGGTACAAACTGGGCAGCAGGTAAACAATGCTCTATGGGGGTACAAACTGGGCAGCAGATGAAAAATGCTCTTTGGGGGTACAAACTGGGCAGCAGATAAACAATGCTCTGTGGGGGTACAAACTGGGCAGCAAATAAAAAATGCTCTGTGGGGGTACAAACTGGGCAGCAGAGGAAAAATGCTCTTTGGGGGTACAAACTGGGCAGTAGATAAACAATGCTCTATGGGGGTACAAACTGAGCAGCAGATGAAAAATGCTCTATGGGGGTACAAACTGGGCAGCAGATAAAAAATGCTCTATGGGGGTACAAACTGAGCAGCAGATGAAAAATGCTCTATGGGGGTACAAACTGGGCAGCAGATAAAAAATGCTCTATGGGGGTACAAACTGGGCAGCAGATGAAAAATGCTCTATGGGGGTACAAACTGGGCAGCAGATAAAAAATGCTCTATGGGGGTACAAACTGGGCAGCAGATGAAAAATGCTCTATGGGGGTACAAACTGGGCAGCAGATGAAAAATGCTCTATGGGGGTACAAACTGGGCAGCAGGTAAACAATGCTCTATGGGGGTACAAACTGGTCAGCAGATGAAAAATGCTCTTTGGGGGTACAAACTGGGCAGCAGATAAACAATGCTCTGTGGGGGTACATACTGGGCAGCAAATAAAAAATGCTCTGTGGGGGTACAAACTGGGCAGCAGAGGAAAAATGCTCTTTGGGGGTACAAACTGGGCAGTAGATAAACAATGCTCTATGGTTGTACAAACTGAGCAGCAGATGAAAAATGCTCTATGGGGGTACAAACTGGGCAGCAGATAAAAAATGCTCTATGGGGGTACAAACTGGGCAGCAGATGAAAAATGCTCTATGGGGGTACAAACTGGGCAGCAGATAAAAAATGCTCTATGGGGGTACAAACTGGGCAGCAGATGAAAAATGCTCTATGGGGGTACAAACTGGGCAGCAGATAAAAAATGCTCTATGGGAGTACAAACTGAGCAGCAGATGAAAAATGCTCTATGGGGGTACAAACTGGGCAGCAGATGAAAAATGCTCTATGGGGGTACAAACTGGGCAGCAGGTAAACAATGCTCTATGGGGGTACAAACTGGTCAGCAGATGAAAAATGCTCTTTGGGGGTACAAACTGGGCAGCAGATAAACAATGCTCTGTGGGGGTACATACTGGGCAGCAAATAAAAAATGCTCTGTGGGGGTACAAACTGGGCAGCAGAGGAAAAATGCTCTTTGGGGGTACAAACTGGGCAGTAGATAAACAATGCTCTATGGGGGTACAAACTGAGCAGCAGATGAAAAATGCTCTATGGGGGTACAAACTGGGCAGCAGATAAAAAATGCTCTATGGGGGTACAAACTGGGCAGCAGATGAAAAATGCTCTATGGGGGTACAAACTGGGCAGCAGATAAAAAATGCTCTATGGGGGTACAAACTGGGCAGCAGATGAAAAATGCTCTATGGGGGTACAAACTGGGCAGCAGATGAAAAATGCTCTATGGGGGTACAAACTGGGCAGCAGGTAAACAATGCTCTATGGGGGTACAAACTGGTCAGCAGATGAAAAATGCTCTTTGGGGGTACAAACTGGGCAGCAGATAAACAATGCTCTGTGGGGGTACATACTGGGCAGCAAATAAAAAATGCTCTGTGGGGGTACAAACTGGGCAGCAGAGGAAAAATGCTCTTTGGGGGTACAAACTGGGCAGTAGATAAACAATGCTCTATGGGGGTACAAACTGAGCAGCAGATGAAAAATGCTCTATGGGGGTACAAACTGGGCAGCAGATAAAAAATGCTCTATGGGGGTACAAACTGAGCAGCAGATGAAAAATGCTCTATGGGGGTACAAACTGGGCAGCAGATAAACAATGCTCTATGGGGGTACAAACTGAGCAGCAGATGAAAAATGCTCTATGGGGGTACAAACTGGGCAGCAGATAAACAATGCTCTATGGGGGTACAAACTGAGCAGCAGATGAAAAATGCTCTATGGGGGTACAAACTGGGCAGCAGATAAAAAATGCTCTATGGGGGTACAAACTGGGCAGC